TGAACAATGTCCCTAAGTGCCTCATCTACAGGTTTCTTGAACACTGCCAGGGACGAGGACTCCACTGTTGCAACTTGCAAAGGAACGGACTCCAGTGTAATGCACCAAAGACTGAAGACATTTTATTAAGCATCAGATAATACTTATATTATACCTTACTATTCCAGATACCTTATTTGTCTACAAGCACGCGAAGCACAGTTACTAAATAAACCAATAATCTAAAGGCTTACACTGAGGCTATGCAACCAGCTTCTTGGTCACGCAGCAGCCGTTGCTTTTGCTCCTTGTTTGCTGATAAAACACCTCCACTGCCGTCCTTGATTTTGGCTATCCACTAACAAGACGTCCCGTACTACTGTCCCTGAAGCGGGCCTCCACACTCCACCACTTCCCTGGGCAGCCTGTTGCAGTGCTTCACCACTCTTCCCGTGTAGAAATTCTCCCTCATGTCTAACCTGCACCTCCCCTGGCGCAACTTGAGGCCATTTCCTCTTGTTCTATCTGTAGTTATTATGGAGAAGAGATCGACCTCGTCTCACTACTAAGACGACTCAAGCTGTCCACATGGCAGTTATACCCTTAACACATTTCTACATAGAGTTTTGCCATGATTATGTGCTTTTGAATGATTTCATAGGTATATCCACATGTTTTTATGAAGGTAGGAGTGAAACTGTGAAAGCTGGAGTGAATCCCCCTCCCGGGTTGGGAGGTGGTTAATATTCTGTGGGGGTGGAAAGGCACCCAAAGCCACTCAAGAGAGAGAAGTTTAAAAGAGTCTTTAGCCTCTTGAAGCGGGTTGTGGTTAATACCATTGAACTCGGAAAAATGATGCAACTTCTTCTGCATGGAAGAGCAAGCACAGAAAGGACGTGTTAAGCATTGACACTGCTCTTAATACATGTACATACATGTTCAAATGCTTATCTTTGCCATTTAGCTAGAAAAAACTCGTGAACACGAAGACTCCTTTGTGGGAAAACTTCCATCCTAAGAGACAGCTCCAGTTTTGCTCTTTGCTGTTCTTCTCTTGATAAAGGAAAAAATACAGCAAATTAAATCTCATCAAGGAGTCTGATTTTGAATTCTGGAGGGACTTTAGGGTTTGCATTTTGAAACACTGCAAATATGTTTATAGAAAGGCACATAAAATCAATTGCTTTTAGAAAATCATAGGCTGAGAAAGGGCCACCAAGGTCAGCTAATTTAGACTTTTCTGACAAACAACTTCATCATAGAATGTCTTAAAAATTACCAAGCTTCAGCTGCAATATAATTTTTGCCTCCTGATATTTATTTTATAAAATGAAACATAGTCTGCAGGTTGTGTTTTGCTGTGTGAAATAAGATGTTGTGGAGTCTCCTTCTCTGGAGATCTTCCAAACCCGCTTGGATGCAGTCCTGTGCCACGTGCTCGAGGTGACCCTGCGTGTGCAGGGGGTTGGACTAGATGATCTCTAGAGGTCCCTTCCAACCTTAAGCATTCTGAGATGTTGAGACTATCTTTTTTCAACGTCCTTGGAAGAGAATCTTAAAGATCTTTTATTTAACAAGAAATGCCATAGCTAAAGACTTCAAATAATGTACTCCCTCTTCCTATTAAAGGGGGATTGGCACCTTAACAAAAAAGCGAAGTATCTATGAAGTAAAGGTAACATATTTCTACCCTCTTGTCTTCCTACCTCCCAGCTTTTCCTCCCCCACATAAATACTGCTCAGGCAATCTGTGTACACATTTGGCACTGTTTTCCAACACCCAAACAAGCTGCAGAATAAATTATAAAACCTAATTTTAGTCCTGCCTGGCAAAGCCAGATTTGTTGCTATCCTAATGCCTATAATTTGGCTCAAAATAAAAACGCTTTGGAAGCAGAACTGTTTAATTACTTTGAAGGCTGTTGGCCAGCTAAGGCTCTCCAGCTGGCGAAGGCTTGGGGCGATGCTCTCAGTTACGAGAGGTCAATCTCAGGACAAAGCCGTATAAAACTCTCAGTTTGGTGCATTAGAGGAATTTCGTGACGTTCCTCTGCCTCATCAGTGAGAGCTACGAGACATTTCTATGGCCCGGACGCAGCTGCCGAGCCTGGCACGCCGCTCTGTGATTCATGGGCAACAGCCATAACCGACACGGCCACATCTCTTGCTAGTAGGAGACTGTACCTGTTTTGAGCTTCCCCCGTTTATTGCTTTAAGTTCACCATGGCTTGCGATGGCATTTAAGCAGCCATTTAACGCCTCAAGTCTGAGCGTTCTGAAATAGGCAGGTGACCACACAGGTGCCCAGACGGGTGGCTTCGGGCAGCCGCACGTATGTTCTCTGTCAGCACCTATATTTTCGTCCAGCAACAGGTCATTTGTAACTGGATTTTCCTGCAGCCAGACACTCATCAGAGCTTAGGCACCTGCCTGGCAGAGGCCAATCAGGTAAAGCCAAATTTCTGGCTCCCTCCAACCATTATTATTATTATTATTATTGTTATTATTATTGAAAAAGGGAATACCTCCAGCCCACCCTGCCCTTCTCC